GACAGCATATTCTACCCTTGTATATGTTTCAACCTGCCCATACAAATACATCTGAAAAATTATTTTCATTTCATTTTTTAATCTTAGCTGGTGGTCAGCAGGATGTTGAGTACCTGCGCGATCTTGAAGATCGCCTCGAAACAGCTCAGTTACAGCGTCAAGTTTTGGCCGAACTGACTAGTCTTTTGGCCCCATCTTCGCCCTTTTCTTCTCACCGGTTCATGTCACCCGCCTCTCCTGTCGGTTCTCTCTCCAGCAGCCCTCCTCCCTCCCCCTCTGCCACATACGCATCCGTCAACAGTGGGGTTGCTGGCCCTGCTGGCGCTGGTAGTAGCGGAAGCGTGAGGGAACGAGATTTAGCCTCATTAGAACGACTCTCACGTGGACGTTTATTCAGCCTAACACAGCTTTTCACTGAATATGCAGAACCCTTTCAGCTGCACGAAGCGAAGCTTGCAATTCTCAGGGCCGGTGGCAATGAGGCATGCTAATATTATATATCCCAGTTTATCTTATACTAGTATAGGGATCAATTTGATTTGGCGAATTTATTCAGCATTGAAGACAGTGTTTTGCAATTAGTCCTTAATATAGCTAAGATTTAGATGTTTAGTGTCCTCTTTTATAGTTAGATTTTAGCCTGATGCACGCTTTGACACAATTTTCAATTCAACTATTCCTAATATACGCTGATAAAGGTTGGGTTCAGAAGAATCTATTGGTTTATATTCGTTGAGCTCACTTCCATTTCATGTGAAAGTGTTTAGTAAAGAGACTCGAAGGTCGATCCCTCCAGAATACGTCCAATGCTTTCTCTTGGCCAGCAATCGGATAATTCTTGTTGACACTGTTTCCAGGGTTATTCCCTCGATTCCGATGAAAACGTGTTAATCTTTTGTTCCTCATATGACGGACCTCATCAGAGAGGGGTGTAATTTACATGTCTATATTTAATCTAACGAATCAAGAATTATACTCTTTCTGATGATACCCGACGTATGAAGGACGAAAGCATAACACGTTTTCATCGGGATCGAATGGAATAACCTCGGAAGCAACGTCAACAAGAATGTTCTAATAAAGCATATAGACAACTGGTCAAAAAGAAACCACCATTTTTTGGTGGAATCGACCTTTAATTTATTCAACAAACACTTTCATTCAAAATCCAAGTGAGCTTAACTAATCCTAATACTGAAAGTAAGCCCTTACATTTCTATCAATACGATGGTGGTATTCTTAATTAAGTTTCACATTTTGCATTACTTTTTAACCATATTTTCTTGATTTGATTTTTCAGCTTTAAAATCCTTAATTTTTTGCCTTCATT